TCCGTCCTCTTTTGGTTCTCTGATAAACCAAATTTTGGAGATATGTTCGATTAAGAGGTCGTTAAATGCATGTATTTTGTCTTTGGATATGGCGGTAAATGTAGCGTGAACGAAACTTAAACATAGCGGTATCGTTTGTCGGCAAGATGTAATTGCGCGTTCCTCGATGATACTTGGTTCAAGTCCACCACTTCGGCTTTACGAAAGCTATCGGACAATCTGCAGAAGACGTTATGCCATTTCCTTTCCTTTGCCTAACCTTTACTTCCTTAAGCACATCGATAAACATTACAAATACTTAAAAGGAACACTTACCTTTACGTGCACAATTTTCTTTTTTGTCAGAGATACTGCGAAGTTTAATGAACCAGAAGTTTGAGCCACCAGACTGACGACCGACTTCTGAATTGAAAATAATGACAATTACGCTTAAACTGTCCGCGCTCAGCTGTAACCGACAAAAGTCGTTTCCAGGACTTCTCCATGCCGACGATCGGACTCAAAATGATAAACAGTCACACTAATATATCCTTTACTGAACACTCTGTTGCGAAAAAACCTTCTGAGTCAGCACTCCCCTTGCTGGTGGTCCAGGCCACTTTTCTAAGTAAATGCTTTGAGAACTTACTGCTATTCTGATTATGGCTGTTGGTTCCAAGGTTCCAAGATTTCAAAGTTAGTCTCCATGATAACCGTGGCATGTTTTGTTGATGTGCCCACTGTATATCCCTCTAAATACCGCAGAAAGCAGCACATATCACATACGAAACTAGCTATAGCCTAATGACGGAGTTCTTTAAGTTCAATGATAGAGCACTGGAGCGCGGAATCCCAAGATCTGGGTCACTAATTTTCGTGGGGAACACAATTCTGTCATCGTCTTACGCTCAGCATTATGTCCTAAAAAAGAGGGGGGGAGGGGGGGGGGGGGGGGGGGGAGGAAGTGTTACTCCTCGTCGCTTCACGCAAAGAAATTGCGATTAGCTCCAGCTGAGTGGGCCACTTAACTCAATTACAGCCTTCACTCCAGGTGATCGAAAGAATGGTGTTAGAATAACAAAACAGTAAACGATCGTACGTAAAATAATGCTTTCTCCTTTATTAACCGATGTCGTTTTCTAGAGAAACGAACGATTTTATATACCAAACAACACGACCTAAGCTGGTCATTTAACTATGAGGGTACTCCACAGAATATAATGCCTTATATATTAAAATATTATTCTTCAAAAATGGAATATATAAGTGTATGAAGGTAATAAATAAGTATATACAGCCCATGTATGAACAAATTTTGGTATACAATTATTTTTTTCAAGAAATTACCGGGTCGGGATCTATCTGTATATGATTTTATGGCGTCACATTAATTATTTTTTAGTTTCCTTTAGTTATTTTGTTAATATGTCTTAGTTTTGGGTTGCATAATATTGAGAGCTTCTCTGTGAAAAGATATATTGTCAGTGATTTCGACTTAAAACTTTTTAACCACGACATTCTGCATCAGCGACATGGAACCTTCACCGCCTCAGCACAGCTCTTACCAAGAAAAAGGTAAAAGATCCTACCAGTTTGACATTCGAAAATATTCCCCTTTTTTTTTCGAAAATTAAGTATTTAGGCCAATGGAATCGAAAGGGTTTAGCCCTTGGCGGAGTTATTCTCAGCCTCATCATCAGGGCGAGGCCACAGCAGGGTCGTTCATTCGAAAAAGAGCTAATAGACATAGGTAGCAAGACTCGTTTTGACAACGAGGCCAGAGCTTAACCAGAAAAAGGCTTTCGGCTGACGCAATATTACAAACATATAGTACAAAGCTAACTCTGCGGTCAAGTTAAAAAAAGACGTTTGAATATTATATTACAAATTGTTAGAAAACGCGCGTTGCAACTGGAGGTAGCAAAGTTATAAAAATACGAACTTTAGCCTAACCCTTTACCCCCTGACATCAGTAGGCATATTCTCCGTACTGTT